AGTATTGGCTTGTTAATATTTAATTTTAATAATACTTGTTAATGTTTGAACAGTCAGCAACGCACAAAGAAAAAATTCTTTAGTGAATGTTTACACACAGTGTGAACACATGCTTTAAATATGCAGTGGAGGAGGAGGGGTGAATTCACAGTTAACAAAGCTAAAAAAAAAACCTCCTTGTTATAAATTACACAAAGCATATAAAAATATTTCTCTGAATGCATAGATTAAGACTTTTAACTCACCTACCAGCAACTGTGCAGTCTTATCCCTCTGCCACATGCAGGAGTCTGTTGATCACAGAGAATTTTATAAAGAAGAAGAGACCAGCATAGGGCAGAGGCTCATCAGATCCATCTCTCACAGGAGACACCAAGACCCTTGCTCACCTCTTGTTTCTAAGCCCGGGAAATGCCCTGGAGCTATTCCTCTGTAATCTCTTATCTGAGTGACTTAAAGAGTTAACTCTAGTAATTTGGACATGAATTCATACTGAGTTTACTTCCTTTAGGATAGAATCAGACTTAACTGTAACTTTTTTCAAAGCAAAGGGGAAAAAAGGTTACAACATCTAGTTAAACTAGCTTCGGATTGGTTGAAACACAAAGGAGGTTTCTTCTTTAAAGCACTTGAGAGAAAGGGTAATAACCTTCACTCTGCTGTGCAAACACTGTACAAAGGTAAGCAAGTCACCAGCAATAATTGGTGAAATACAAGTCACTAAACAGAGTGACTCCATGAAGTTGGTTGAAAATCATCTGAACCTCATTTCAACACTTAAGCAGTAGCAGGAGGCCATTATCTTAGCACAACATTCTCTTCCATTGACATCTGCACGTTCTCACTCAACTGTAGTGTTCTAATAAAATTAAGTTAACACAGTTAGGAAGTTAAGTTTCTTTGGAAACTCTAGGCACTATGGGGAAAAAGCTTCTTAAGACAGCAGGAATGCTCTTCGACAGCTGGCTTCAAACCCTTGCTCTCCTGTATGTCTAAATGTGCTAGTTCTCATTTCTAAGTGAAAGTGTTTGTTCCAAGAAGACAGTGACTTTTATTTTAACATTAATGACAATGAAGGAAAGGAAAAGAATCCCTAAATGCATTCTTTTTTTTTTTTTTTTTTT